TGGTATTTTTTTAATATAATAACCAAGAAAGTTTTTTTTGAACTATGTTTATGAACGGAAATAATGTGTTAATTACGTAAAGTTTGAAAGCTAATAACCAGAAAAAGTCTAACTTATTTTTACAAAGAGAAAGATGCAAAGTTATCATATCTTTGCTTGCGATCTCCGAGATCTGTGGACACAGTGATGTCATGAGGAGGGAAATCGTAGCTTCAGCTCTAAGAGCGGAGTGAACTAGCACTTCTATTCTCTTTAGCCCTGGGAATTTTATGTTCAATTTTTTCTCATTTATCTTGCATTAATTACTGATTATTTATCCATCATTTTTGAAAAATTTATTTTTCTTCTCTGAGATCTTTATTTCATCAACCACTCGCGGGTCAGTTGTGGCCAAAAGTAACAAAAACAGATATAAATCTTAACATTAATATTGAAATTTCAAAAAAATAAATAAATGGGAACATAATACAAGAGAGATAAAAAGTATACCGCACTGTATAATTTATTTACTCTATACCAAATACTAGTAAATAGTATTCATATATTTATCTAAAGATATGAAGAAATGATATGAAGATATCTGAAAATATGAGTTTTACTGTTTTTTTCCAAATATCTTCAGATATTTAAAAGCAGCTTTTTTGTATTAAAGATCCAACTAAAGTAATCCGTAGAGTAACAACCCTTATTTAAAATTATTTAGCCGAACAATGTCGAAACAAAATTGTTCAGCGCAGTTACAAAATATTTTCCTTCCATGGGAATACTTCAATTCAAGATGAAGTAATGTACTTTTAAATTCGAAAGCTAAAAGGAATTTTTTTTCAAAACTCACCACTTTTATTCAAATAAGAGCTTTGTTTTCCAACTCGCACGCACATTCTTTTTTTTTTTTTATTTTAAACATTTCATCGGAACACGCAAGATCTGAATAGAACACAAAGTTTTCGAAACAATCTAGCTTTTCCTCGATACGTTTTTCTTTTTAAACTTCTGTTTCAAAATATAATGCAAAGAATTCAACCGAAGTTTCAATCCTGTCTTCATAATCTGATGTCTTTTTTTTTTCTGTTCGTTTTCAACCAAAATAAATTTGTTCTTAAGAAAGTAAGTTTTAGAAGATAATTCTAGACAAAGATTCTGTGCCCTTGCTGAAATTCATATTTCGTTATGCAGGTTTAAATGATCAAATGAATTAGCATAAGAGTCTATGCAAAAATCTTAATTATCAGGAGATACTAAACAGCATTGTTTTTTTTTTCGTTGCTGAAACCGGTTTGCACTTGTTTATGTTCGTGTATCAATTGGTTAAATTGGTAATAAATTAAAATAGTATTCAAAAAACGAAACTAAATTAAAAACAGAAACCGAAACTAAAAATATATTAGGCTTAAGAAAAAAAGAAATAAGCTCCCCATGACGTTGCAGACGAAGTTTCGATTTCAGGCGGGCAGAAATAAGCAACTTCAGGTTTATAGGAGGGCAGAAATAAACAACTTCCGGTTGGGGCAGAAATAAGCTCCGTTTGACTTTGGGTGATGACGTCACTTCCGCCGCACCAACCCCGGCTATTACTACTACATAAATTCACCTAGTAGATAATTTAGGGGATATATTAGATAAATATAGAGTATTTATTATATCAGATACTATATTAGCATATTATAATAATTAGACCAAATGATAAGACGCATTGTAGTGTTTTAATAATTGCATGTTTTGCACGAGTTTATATGCAACACTCTTATATTTAAACATACATGTAATGGGTTTTTATTCAGGAGATTTTTATGTAGTTTCTATTTGTATTCTTTTTTAACGTATTGCATTACAATGTTAACCAATTGATTCACGCATGTAAACAAGTGCAAACCGCGTAAAGGCAATAAAGCTGTATAGAATCACCTGATAATTAAGATTTTACATAGAATATTATAAAGCGTCTAATAATTTAGCCAGGAACTGTATAAGAGTATAACTTTTAAATTTTTTTTATCATAAATAAAATGGTTTCAAATGCAAAAATGAGTTTTGCTAACTAGTTTCTCCTTCTCTATTTTATGAATCTATTGTTCTTAAGAATTTCAGAAACCTTTTTAAAACCATTTTGAATAAATCTAATCCGTTCCCTGCTCGCTTCGTATACAATGTATTTCATTGCCATTATATTTTAGCCGTAACTTCATAACTATTTACAAATTAAAAAATAAAATGCTCAAAATTATTATGTTTGTTCAGGGCCCACGTTCAGGATTTCAAATTATTAGCCTATAAATTAGCCGAATATCAAAAGTGTTTGCCAATTTTCGAAAGTCTTCGCCAAGTGACGCGAAAACAATTTTTTTTGATAAAGTTACACCCCATAAAACTAATTTACGGTAGTTTTTTACATGCATATATTATTTCGATCCAATTCTAATTGGTTATGTGGTGCATTTACCGAAAATTGCTATAATCGAATAAAAAGAATACTGATTTGTTTAGAGAAATTTATTTTGAAGTAATTTTAATGTCTTTCCAATGGAAAAAATCATTCGCCAAGACTTTCACCAAAACTCAATTTACGATTGTCGCTTATTTTACGATTCTTATCGCATTTGGCGAGGTGTGGAATGCTTAGCGCAGGTCCTGCTTGTTTACATAAAGATACAACTAACAGCACGAAGAACTATTTTATGATAGTTAAATATTATTTTTTTATAATTCATTTGAATGAGAATTTAAAGCATTTCATATTTTTATTTTCTTGTCAAATATGTTCATAAAATTGAAAATTTGATAGAAGTTGGCAGAAGAAATCGGAGAAATAAAAATTCAAAATAGTTGTTCTGTTGATCATTTTTTTTCGGATTTTGATCATCCGATTTCCAACAAATTATATATTGCACAGTGCTGACGTAAATTATAATTAGTGGTATATCAATCATGGATTAGAGCCCACTCATCATCACGCTAACCTTGTGAGGTTATCGTAGTTTTCCTCTCCATGTAACGCAAATGCGGGTTATAGTTTCATCAAAAAGTCCTCCACGAAGGCAAATTTCTCCCAAGGCTTGATCCAGGTGTTCCCTTGTCTTCTGGATTAGGTTCAAAATTACAAGGCTACGGAGTTGAACATTGGTAGTCGTAATCTAACAATTGAATCGGCAATTCAACGACGGTTATAAAATGGAATGAAATTTAATATTGCAAAATATTATTGCAAAAGCTTAACTAAAAGGAAATCTTTGTACAGTTTGAAGTATTAAGTATTTTTCAATACATAAGTATACAAAAAATAAGAAAGAGTGAAAAAAAAGAGAAAAATATAGTTTTTTAGATTTATTATGGACAGTATATCATTGCTTTGAAATTTTTATTCTTAATAATAAGCAAATTATAAATATTTCTAACAATTCAACTAATTTTTTTAAAACTGATCTTGTTATTAAGTAATTTAGAAAAATCCTCACAGACAAAGCTAACCACAATGATCCTCTCTTTCCTAAAAAATTCTATGTTGAACATTTAAATAGGAAATTAATCAATAATAAAAATTCCAAATTAGCAAATTAAATAATATAAACTATCAGTCAAGAATTTAGCTTTATATAGGAGACTGAAAATTAAAATCAATAATGTAATCTACTTAATTTGTCCAAAATTTCATAAAATACCTATTAAAATTAGAACAATCACTTCTGGGTTTAATGCTTACTAAAGTAAACCTGGCCCTATTTTCTCAAACTACTTTAATGAAATTTATAACAATAGCATTAAAGAAGGTTTTTTACGGCTAATTTCCAAAAATCAATCTATTCTAGATTTAATTAAACACAACAAAATTAAATCTATCGCGACTATACTTGTAAATTCTACTTCGGCTGTGCTTTTTTAATACTATTTTTATTGTGAAAAAGTTTTTTTTTTAAATATCTGGAATACAACAAGGGTTTACTTTTTCATCACTTCTGGCCGACGTACTTTTCACTATTACGAAAAAAAAAATAATACACTAAATATAACATTTGTTTTTAGATTTATGGATGATTTAGTTATCTTTAATTTTTCAAAACTATATAATTTTGTTGAACCTCGAGGAATTAATCTTACTTCGCAATCCTGACAATAATATTAATTTTAATTTTTTAGATTTCAGTATTATCAAAAAAGCAAAATATATTTGCATTGTTGACATATACGATAAAAGAAATGATTTTAAGTTAAATATAATTCAATTTATTGCACGGAATTCCAATGTTTCTTAAAAAATTTGTTTAAATATGATTTTTTACGTAAAAAAAGTAAAATTAAAAGATTTGTAGTAATACATATTATCGAAAAAACAAGCAGACATACTTTTACAAAATTTGATTAAAAATGACGATTAAAAAAACTTTTAGTTATTTAGATTAATATATTTGTTACCATGTGCAAATTCGAGTCATGCAAACTCGTGAAAACAAAAAATTTAAATTTGATCCGTACTTTATTGTACTTAGTTTAAAATTTTATAACTAATCAACAGTTTTATGACAGCTCAATAAAATAATAAATATTATCAATAAATATTAATATTTTCTATAAAAATCATTGACTTAAAATGAGTATTGTAGTATTTAAAGTTCGACCTTTTATTAAATATAGAGTTTGATATGGGGTGAAATATGAATAAAACAGTACGTAAAACAACACTAAGAAATCGTCTACAATAATCAAAGACATATACTAACACAATAAAAAAGCTGAAAAAATTCCCATTTGTTTAATTTAATTTAATATTCAGTCCATTTCGGTGACTTTGCGTTGTTAGATTTAGCAAAATGTGTTTATAGTGGATCATCCTATCAAAATAAAGATTAAACTGCATTCATTTGGCATGATTCGGTTGATCAAGGTCAACTCGTGAATTTACTGCAATCAAGCAATTCATACCTTTCGATGGACCGTAGTTATAAATTGTGATATATTATGACCTCTGTGACCATATTTATAACTTGTGACTCTTTCTTTTGCTTCAGGTCTTCCAATACTCTTTGTGATTCCTTGGATTGTAGTGAAAGCAACATTTGAAGATAATTTGTAAGTATAGCTTACGTCATTTTTAGATTTGAATTAATTAATTAATTATTAAACGGTGATGAATAAACTAAACTCAGTGGCGCGACAGCCCATAGAGGGCCAAGGCATACTGTGCCCATCTCAGTTTTCTTGACCTGGGCCTCTGGGGTGCAGGAGCAGATGTTCCTGTCAGGTGGTCAGCCGAACGTGGAGCCCCCGGTGTTTAGTTCCCAAGCATGCTTGGTATACTCATTTATCGACCCACTGAAGGGATGAAAGGCTGAGTTAAACTTTCCCGGTCTGAGGATCGAACCCAGGACCTGCGACGTGGGAGCGCGAAGCGCTACCACTCAGTCACCGAGCGTCACCGGTGATGAATAGCTACGTTGAATGTCACAGCTTTGTAGTTTTGAACTCAACCCAGAAGACAAACTAGCTACAGTATCAAATATTGCAACAGAACTCACCTACGAGAAGGACTTACGTCACGTTTCCGCGAGGGGAAAACTACGAAAAACTCCCACACTTTGCCCGATGGCAAATGGACTTTTCTCTTATTAAAGGGCCTTCTTAAACCATATCCACGTTCCCATTGATTTGCATTCACAATACCATTGAACCGTATAAACGTTCTCTTTGAACAATATCCAGATAATCATTGAACCATATTCATGTTCCCATTGAAATATATACACGCTTCCACTGAACCATTTTCAAGTTCCCATTAAAAGAGTCCCACCATTGAAGCACATCTACATTTCCACTGAGCCATATCCTTATTCCCATTGGACCATATCCACATTACCATTGGACCACATCCACTTTCCTATTGAAACATGTTCACATTCTCACTGAGTCATACCCTTATTCCCATTGGACCATATCCACATTCCCATTGAACCACATCAACTTTCCTATTGAAACGTGTTCACATTCTCACTGACAAGGGAAACTAGGGAAGTGTGACTCGCTAATTTTGAAATAAACTAGTGGGATGTATGCCTTATGAGAAATAGTTTTAGGGGGCAACATTCGTTTCGGCCCATAGAAGGTCCTGTGAGAGATAAAAAGTAATTCATAATAGCATATTAATGTAATTAGCACCAAAAAATAATAATTGTGAAATGTTTAATAAGACCGGATAAGATTTTAAGGTCTAACATTGCCCACTAAGCATTTAACCGGTACTCCGAACACTGGTGTTTCTTCTAATCTATCCTCAACAGATATTAAAATATGCAATAAATATAATAATATCAACAAATAAATTAATATCAAGTGGGATATAACAAATATTTCGGACATTCACCAAAGTCGCTTTGGTGAATGTCCGAAAGAATGTGAAAGTCGACATTCTCTCGATTTCGGTCATTCCCTGGTAACATAGTTACATTTTGAGTGAAATCTATCTAACAAAAAGGAGTTTTCTATGTCAAGTTAATCCGTTTAGACAGAACTTAATGAGATGGTCTCCTTGTTTAAGNTGAATTATTTTTTATCTCTCACAGGACCTTCTATGGGCCGAAATGAATGTTGCCCCCTAAAATTATTCCTCATAAGACATGCATCCCACTAGTTTATTTCAAAACTGGCGAGTCACACTTCCCTAGTTTCCCTTGTGAGTCATACCCTTATTCCCATTGGACCATATCCACGTTACCATTGAACCGTATAATCCAAGTTTAAAAGGAAATGTTATTTTACACTCCAATATCATCCAATCGACACCTTATTAAGATTGCAAAAAATTCGAACGATATTCTTGTTTTTTTATGGAACAGAGTGTTTATCAATATTTTCCAGTGACACCTGCATGAAAATAAAACTATTTATTCTCAGAAATATAAAACGAAGGCAAATAACGATTGCAAACCGCTAAAGAAATTTTCAGAACATACATATATATATGTTGGATGGCTCCCCAATGTATAAACATTCCTCCAAGTCTTAACAAAATGGGGTATTTGGCATATTTTATCGAGTTAGCGCCATAAAACTTTATATGCGCTCTTTTGTCATGTATAGATTTTTAGAATATTTGTGTGTGAAATGTTTTCTAAATCTCTCAACGCCAGCTTCAGGTTGTAGAAGTCCAATAATAAAATCTACATAAAATTGGGTTTACAAAAACCCATGCATGGCAATAGTTGTATATTTCGAAAACATTTGATCTTTCTTCAAGTATTTTATGTCCACACAAATATCAGAAGATGTTTCGTTGTTTGCAAAATGAGAAACTGCTTTATTTACATTTATAACAGCTTTATATATATAAGAATTTTAAGTTACATATATGGAGTATAGAACCACAAGCAAAATACATTAGAATACACTATGAAGGCATAAATATGAAATATCCTAAACTATGTAAAAGTGCTAACATTTAAAATATATCTTTTTTATGCAACATTTAAAAATAATTTAAAAAAAAGTTCCATTTATTGATTTTTTAACGTTTTTTTTCTTCCAATTCCTACTATTAGTTCACACTCTTCTTATATCCTGTTCAAATTTCCTATCGTTCATAAAATACTTTTTACTCATCCACTCAATATTCAGCACCATCTTCGTTAACCGAAAAATTTCTCTCTCATACCATTATTGAGAAATTAAACTTTATTTAAGATGTATATAATAAATTCTTCACATGTCAGGTAGAAACAACAAATGGTGATAAAAGTTTTGTTTATTTAATCAGTATTTCTTTTTATGAATTCTTAAATGGAAAAAAATAACATAAATTAAAAAAAAAATTAAATAATTCCATACACGGTCTAAAAATAAGAAATTTCCAAATATTAAAGATTTATTTATTTTATATTTTTCGTCCCTTTAGGATTTTTTTTTTAAAATTCAAGTTAGCACTTTCATCAAGACGAGTATTATCGTGTTTCACGGGAAATCCCTGCACGCTAGCGACGAGATACCTCGTCCTCTTTTGTTTTAATTTTAGCTCTAAAAGTGGAACTGGTAGGCGGCAAAAGTGCTAAAGAAAGGTAATTGGACTTTTTTTTTTTGGAAAATCATCAATCAGATTTGCAAACAAATTTTAAAGGAACTGATAAGAGCCGCGATTTGCTCAGAGGATAGAGCGCTCGCCTTCCAATGAGGAGAAACGGGTTCGAATCCCAGCTATGGCTCGTCGATATGAGTTCCGCACCTGGCTCGCACCACAGTGATGGCGTAAAATATCCTCAGTGGTAGACGGACCATGGGTTAGATTCCCCCTGGCCATCAGGCTAACCGTGGGAAGATCTCACGGTCTTCCTCTCCATGTAACACAAATCCATCAAAATGTCCTTCACGAAGGCAAATTTGTCTCAATACTTGATCCAGGAGTTCAGTTGTCTTCTGGATTGGGTTCAAAATGACAAAAGGCTACGGAGTTGAATATTAGTAGTTGTAAACACCAAAAATTGTTCGGCTGTTCAGCCAAGGTTGTAAAGTAAAATAAATTTTAAAAAAAGGAACTGATATAAACAGTAATGGAGTGAGGTTAGGTACTAAAAATACTTATTCTAATTCTACTCGCACTAATTTTTAGCATCCCTCTCCCTCTTTTTTTATCTGTGATGAAAAGTTATCAGCAGATGCTTAAATTATTTTCCATCTCAGATACGTATAGGGTCTAAAAATGATTAAAATGAGTACGTTTAGGAATTAAATATGATTAAAATGAGTACGTTTAGGATCTAAAAATGATTAAAATAAGTACATTTAGAAATTAAAAATGATTAATGACGTTTAGGAATTAAATATGATTAAAATAAGTAGGGGAGAGTGGGGTCAATTGTAACATTTTTCACTTAACTATTTTTAACTAACAAAAAATCCGATATATTATTAGTATTAATTGACAGACGAGTAGAGTGGACTCTCCTCTACTAGAAAAAAAAAATACTTTTTTTTTAATGTTATTATATTAATGTATCTATATGTATAATGTATGTATATATATAACAATTTTTGACAGTCGTGCACTTGTTACAATTGCCCCCATTTACGGGGTCAATTGTAACAGTTCATAAATTCAACTAAAACATAGTTAATTATGCATATTATCATAGTTGTGATATATTTTTTTATTGATCAAAATAGTAGTGATATTTTAGGAGTAAAAAAACTAATGAGCAGAAACCTAAAGGGTTAAACTTTTAACTTTAAGGGGTGAAAATTTTTAATTTATGCTGTGAAAGGTGACAAATAAAATAATGCACATGCAACATAATATAAATGATATAGGAAACTATTGGTGGTTCTTAAAGAGTTAAGTAATGGTTTGTAAACATAAGATTATTTATTTTCAGCTGTTACAATCGTCCCTTTACTTATTGTTACAATCGTCCCCAAGACGCCATTTCAGCTTCATTTTTTAAAAACAATGCTAGTTAATTAACAAAACTAATATTTTTTTTGAAATGTTAATTAAGGTGTCCACTTACATATTCGGTTAATAATTTTTATCTGTTTAAACAAAATGACTTTGTAACAATATAATATTCTAATACCAAAAAAAGTACTTACGTAGCGTGAAAATATCTTTTGTGATATAACTCTTTCAAAAGTACATAAAAATGGTTGCCAGCAGGGGTGTACATGTAGATTTATTAAATACAGCTTGTGCGCCACCTGGGAATCAAATCTAGAACCTGGCACTCGAAATTTTTGCTCTGTTTCAATCGTACCCTGTTACAATTGACCCCACTCTCCCCTACGTTTAGGATCTAAAAATTATTAAAATAAGTACATTTAGAAATTAAAAATGATTAAAATGAGCACGTTTAGGAATTAAAAATATATATATATATATGACTTTGAACATAAAATATTCGGGTATTCTTACTTAAAATATCTCAACAGAGAAAAATCAAAGTGGAATACCAAATTCTCAAAAACATGTTCCTTTATTTTTACATATTTGGAGAGAATACAAATGTGAAAACATTTTCTTAAAAGCCGAGACTCATAAATGTTGAATGCCTTTCGGATTTGCCATGCCTGAATTAAACTTTCCTTTTTAAATGACATTCGCTTAAAACAGCGATTTTCATGCATGAAAAATACTCGCTCAACCCCCTTACCATTCTCTTGAATAAAATGACAGAACCTGCATTTTAAGGAATTTTTTGTTGTTATTGCCATAACAATTAGTTTTGTTTTTAAATGTTTAAGAAGAAAACAATCTCATGTGTATGTAAAACAATATCAATCCCACTTAAATTGTTAAATGTCGAAGTAAATGAGACAAAAATTCAGAAGTTAGTCGCATCTGCTAATTTGATACGTAGGGAAATTTTTTTTTTACAAAGTATGTAATAAAACTAACAGTCACAACTGCAAGGAGTGACAGAACTTAGCAAAATAAATTGCTCGCGGCAGAATTGCAGCGACACGGTGACATTGTCGCAGAACGTTACAGAATTCTTGCAGAAAGGTTTTTCTTACGAAATGCAAGAAAAAAAAAAATTCTTTATCATTTTATGAAAATTTACACGTAATATTTGAATCATATTATATATATAGCTCATATATATGTTTGAATCACGTAATATTGACGTGCTCAATATATGCTGATAGTACTGAATCGATTGTATTTTCGGCAGTTATTGATATCGATTTTCACGTGGAATTTAAATATCCCGATATACTTCAAACAATATGGGAAATTCGAATCGTGTATTTGAGAATTTACTTTTGAAGGCAATAATTCTTTCAAATTTTTGGCAGTTATTGCTATTGATTTCTCCGCAGTTTCTAAATCCGGTATTTTTTATACGATATTAGTTATTGCAACAACTTAATCTCGAAACAAATCACGCATTTGAGGAGTCGCGTGATTTCTTCGGCGATTATTTTTTTTTCGACAAGTACTACTACGGGTTTCATGATTTTTTAATTGTTTTTTTTTGTACTGTGATGGTTATTTACAAAATGCGAAGGAAATAATTTTTGCGTTCCTCCCCCCTTCCAAAAAATGGGAGAATATCACATATAATATTAGAATAACAATTATATGCTCAATTAAAAAAAATATGTATAGTTTTTTTTTGTAAACACAGCGTATTTGTTATTTTAAATTATTAATATGTTTGTTATGATTAAAAGTATCTTGCAGAAAAATATTAGTGCTAGAGATTCTGCCACAGCAAAAATAATGTTTACATTACAGTGCAGTCTCTGAAAGCAAAGGGAGTGCAATGAAAGTGTACATGATTGTAGAAAATCGAGAATACAAATAAGATGAATTAAAGATCAGCTTATCTTTAATTTGTATAAAAAAACAACACAGAGTCGCGGTGGCTCAGGATCAGGATATAGATCGCTCGCCTCCTGTTATAGTGGATCCAGGTTCAAATCCTAGCGATGGTTGATCAATACGAATTCCGCATTCGGCTTGCACCAACCACAGTGTTGACGTGAAATATCCTCAGTGGTAGAGCGATCATGGGTTAGAGTCCCCTTGCCGTCAAGCTAACAGTGGGAGATTCTCGTGGTCTTCCTCTCCATGTGACGCAGATGCAGGTTAGTTACATCAAAAAGTCCTCCATGAAGACGACTTTCCACCAGTACTTGATCCAGGAGTTCCCTTGTCTTCTGTATTGGTTCAAAATTCAGAGTTGCACATAAGTAGTCGTAAACCCAAAATCTGGTGTTCGGCTGTTCAACAACGGTTATAAAAAAACATACAAGATTGAGCTGCTCAGGGTGTTCGCCTTCCAATGAGGTGAACCGAGTTTGAATCCCAGTCGTTGATTGGTCGATATAAATTTCGCATCCGGATCGTACTGACCACAGTGCTGACGTGAAATATTCACAGTGGTAGATGGATTAGAGTCCCCTTGTCGTCAGACTAACCGTGGGTGGTCTTCCTCTCCATATAACGCAAATGTGAGTTAGATCCATCAAAAAGTCCCCACGAAGGCAAATTTCTCTCAATACTTGATTCAAGAGTCCCCTTGTCTTCTGGATTGGGTTCAAAATGACAAGGCTACGGAGTTGAACTTAAGTAGCCGTAAACCCTAAATTGGGTCGGCTGTTCAACGACGGAAATTTAAAAAACAAAAAAAAANAAAAACAAGATTAAGTCTCTTTATTTTACTTTATGAAGGATCCATATTGGAACATAACGTTTTTTTTTATTTATTGTTGGCAACATTATATGATTAAATGTTTATTATAAAAAAAATAATCGTCTGTGTTAAGTTAGAATTTTTTTTCTTCCAGATGCTGGACTGTTAACAAGAACCCGTATTACTTTTGGATTATACGAGGACCTATTACGGCATCCATTGTGGTAATCCGTCTTGATAGCATTGTTTGATAGCATTGTTAGCAATTGATGGCATTGTTTAGTATGGATAGAAAATTATAACACTACCTTCCAATGTTATTCCAATTAAGAGTAACATTGACTATCATAATTCAGTTCGAATTTTCTTACTAAATATCAAAATCCAATGATGGTGTCGCAGTTTTCAATTGTTGTCGGTGCATTTTTTTGCCAGAAAATCACGTGGTTGAGTATCCAGTTTTCCCACATTCATTTTCGTATTGGTTTTGTTGTCATCGGCGTAAAATTAATAAAAGTCATAAGGGTATTGTTTTCCTATAAATATTTTTGCATCCCTAATTTAAAGGGTATTTACCTGTACTCTAATAATTACGTTTTTAATTTTGTTTGTTTTCTAAATAAGATTTTTGGAGGATTGTTTTTATAATTATTAGAATAACGTTACTCTACGTAACATTTTAAGATTAGTCATTTAAATCGGTGTAAATTATTATTAAAATTATTATTTTTTTATTATTATTATTATTAAAATTATTATCGGTTAAAATTATTATTTTTTTTATGCATTATTTATTTTATTTGTGTCCGTATATGTCTTTTAGTCTTGTACATGGTTTCATAGTGTAGATTTATAGCAATATATTGATTAATTACTTTTAGGAAGAATTAATATTAATTCAGCTAATAGAATTCCAAAAAGCATTTTAAACTATGAGCAATCACTATTTAGACCTCAACAGCAAAAAGAGCGAAACATAAAATCTAATTTTAAGATATTTACTATAGAAAATATGAACACGGCCTGTAATTATGTGAATATTGGAGATGAGGGCATCAAAAAGTGAGACATGACACATTTTGCTTAAATTGAAACATTTAAAATCAGCAGATTAGATACACTGGTATAAGAAATTAAGAGAATTTGCAGACTGGGTCGATTATTCTCTTCTAGAACTACTGGACCGATTTTAATGAAATTTGATGCGTGCATAACATTGATACAATACAAAACAAATAACCAGTCAAATGGTCTGAAATTGCCACAGGACAATTGCCACAGAAAATGATTAACTACCTTATTTCAAGTATTATTTTTCCAATGGCAGGCACTGAATTTTAAATCTTTTGCCTATACTATGCCAGAATTGTTGCTCATTTCGCGTTACCCAGTGGGCACCTGTGAACCAAAGTCACGGAGGCGAGCAACATTGCCCACGCCACACTGCCACAAACCCGTTTTATAGGGTGGGCCACATTCACGCATCATACACACACACACAACAGAGGACAGCACAAAGAGAGAGAGAGAAACATTCATGCCCAGAGCAGGATTTGAACCTGCAGCCTATGGCTTCGCAGTCAGGCACGCTAACCGCTCGGCCACCAGGCCGGCTTATTTCAAGTATGAAATCACGCTGCAAGGCATGTATATCTGTAAGAGGGGACTATACCCCCTATAAAACCATTCTGTTTTTGTTTATTCTGCAACCGCTGTTTCATACCTTCCGACTCCAAGATGTGCTACACGCACTATCATGTGCGTGTATTACAATTGTTGAATGATTATTTGTTTTGTATTGTATCAATGTATGTACATTAAAATCGGTCCAGTAGTTCTAGAGATAATCGATCAAGTCTTCAAATTCTCTTAATTAATTTCCTACACCAGTGTATTTATATATAATTAGTTTTTATATTTTTGTTATCTTTTTAATGATATCATTATCATTTAATATTATCATTTCGGTGATATCATTTTCACAGTGTGATTGAAAAAAAAAAGCTCAAAATATTGCACACTTTAAATAAGCCTTAAAATTATTCAACTTGCGCTTTACATTATTCCCTTTTCAGTTTTTCGATCAAATTCGCTTACAAACTTTTTTTTATTCAGATTACATTGTTTTTACTCGATAAATTTCCAGCGTAGTTGCAATATCTAATTTTTAATGGATGTAAATTAATTCAAAAGTTCCGAATAATAATTTAAAAAAAGTCTCTTAACTAAATTAAATATTTGTATTTTTGACGAGGCATCTTAGCAAACACATCTCTAATTTTTAAGGATTTAATTTGCAATATTTTGTTTTTGAGGGTAAAAATTAAAAGTTCCAAGTAAATAAAAACTGTTGAGAAAATGGATTATTAGTATTTTCAACCCAGTAGTCGTAGCAAACAAAACAAAAACGCTTCCGTGAATTTGGCCCGCAGTCAAAATCTTATGCAGTGACAGTGAAAACAACACGTGTTTTGCTTCTGTGTAAACCAGTAATCCACTCGAAAGATTCCCTTCTGGCGAATAACGATGTGTTAATATTTTATCTTACGTCAGAAAAATGTCACTTTAAAATAAACGTTTGCTTAAAAATAGACGCGTGACTCCAGAGTTTAGAATAATGTTTTCTAATTCTTGCTCTTTTTTTTTTTTGTTTCTAGTTGAATTTGATATTCTTCATAAACATTACAAGAGTACTTTTCCTGAAGATGTTTTCGTCACAGGCTATTCAAAGTCGGCGATATAGATATAGGTAAATTAGAAATAAAATATTTTGAAAACTATTCATTACGAAGAGTATGCTATCCATTATTTATGTCTCTCTAGAAAAGATGATAAATAAAAGAGAAAAGATTTCTCAAACATTCCTGTTTTCAGAGATTTCAGAATTTTATTTTTAGCATAGCGATGATATCACACATTTCGTTTAAATTAAAACATTTAATAACAGCAGATTAAATATTTATAGATAGTTAATTTTTATCTTTCTTGCTTCCATCAAAATAAATACATACCTTAACCGTAATGGTTGTTATGTTTACAAATTTCGTTCCAACACTTAATACTAGCTAAAAGTTTATAAAAATAAAATTTAAATAGGATCGAAAATAAGTGTTCTTATTTCTGGACTGCTTGCATAGGTTTATGTAATAAATATATAATAAAGCGTAACATGTGACAAACGGGGGTAGTGAGCATATATGGCAACGTTACTTTTAAAGAGTAACGAGTAAAAGTACAAGTATTTTTAAAAAAAGTAACGAGTGAAAAGCAAAAAGTTCTCATTTTAAAAAGTAACGAGTAAAAAGTACAAGTAAAAGTACAAGTACTAAACAAAAAAAGTAACGATTTAAAAGTACATTTCTAGAAAATCGAAAATTCAAAGTAACCTAAAATTTTATTGAATAATAATCTTATGCTCTTTAATGTTTTTGCAAAATTGTTATTTATTTAATTATTTTTAATTTTGAAAGTTATGGATATTTAATTTAATTTATTATTAATTTAAGTTATTTTTAAGTTCGGAAGAATATTATAATGTAATTTTATAATATAATCGTATAATATAATTTTGAAATCAAATATAATTTTAATATCAAACTTTTTACGGATTTGCACGAAAAAGAAATTTTATCTATTGATTTTAATTTTTAGTTTATTATTTTTATTTATTTAAATTACCATTGATTTAAAATTGTTTTACTCTTTAGAAGAGCGTTTTAAAAGTGCAAACATAAACAAAGCAAACACGAGGTTTCAGATAGCTTTGTGAGCTTTGAGCTAGTAAAAAATAATTGAATGTGCAGTATAAGTTGAAACAGAAGGTATTTAAACACGAAGTCAGCTGTGAATGCATATATATTACGCATTAATTTTATAAATTAAAAGAACATAAACATTTTTTTTAATTTTTTTTTTTTTTTTGGAAAGCTTGGTCTCACTATGTTGCACAGGCTGGTCTTGAANGTAACGATTTCATTCGATATTTCCGTTACAAATACTTGTACTTTTTCCGTAAAAAAGTAACGAAGTACAAGTAAAAGTACTAAATTTAAAAAGTAACGAAGTACAAGTAAAAGTATACGTACTTTTTACTTGCACCGGCGGTACAAGTAACGAAAGTAAAAGTACTGCCATATATGGTAGTTAGCATGAAGTGTGACACTTTGTAACTAATGGTCAAGAAAAAAAAAGTGTGACTTCATTTATGGGCAACTCCTAAGGCGGATCAAGAGGTATTTGGGTACGATTATAAAACTCATTTGTCACAAAAAATGCAATGCAATATTACTTATTTAAGATGCGTGAAAACGTTCTAAATTGTAAGGTACGTACATTTTTACAACATGATAACCTAAGTAATATAAAATATTAAATCCAGTACATTTTTGCCTGGATCGTACTAAACAAATATCGTTATGCGCAATATAATTAGTACATTTAAGTCCTGGATTTACAAATTATTATAAGATAGGGTGGTAATACGGGAATATACGATCGTTAGATAGTAAGTTATTCAGGCTGCTCACTTATTTGTATATGGCATACTATACACATGATTTGCAATCGTCCTAGACCAAATTCTTGATGGTACCATCAAAGGATTTTTAATGGCTTCAGAAAGATTATCGATGGTCCAACATGTGTTGATGGTCGCCATCATACAACAATTTCCATCTAGTTGATGGTCCAACAAATGTCCATCATTGCAAAATGAAAATGTTGCTTTTGTGTTATGACGGTAAACCATCGAGCAATGTTTGGTTTTTGATGGACCAATATAAACCCTCATATTTTGACGGCAGAGGTTGCTTTTATGATGGTCCACCAACAAGTCATGTTTTTTATTCCTGGACCAACAACACATCAAACTAACACGGAAGATATTGCATGGTCATTTCAGTGGTCTACCAGCAAATTATAGTTAATAAATATTGGACTAACAACAGCCATGAAAGTATGTAGGAAGATTTATGTCTCTAAGATATATATTTTTGCAGAAAGTGGTTCAAGTCGACGCTGGTGCTGGTTCCCCTGTTTGGAGTCCACTATGCACTCCTCCTTACTGTTAGCTTTGTCGCCAACCGTAGCGAAGCATTGGAAGTCACATGGCTCTACATAGATCAGACTTTTTCTTCATTCCAGGTATTCATGCACAAATCATTTCCTTTATACTCTCTATAAATCTCCAGCTATCCTCACTTTTCCAACACTCCGTTACCATAGTTATGGCAAATCAAACAAATAAAAAAATTTGAATGAATTTAAAAGGAGAAAAAAATCTAAGATAATTCAACATCATTTAAAGTTTTTATCACAAGCTTTACTTATTATTATGTACCTTTTTAGTTGTCTTTCTTTCGTCCTTTCTCAGTAACAAGCCTGTTTTATTTTATTTCATAACCTTCGTTGAACAGCTAATCCAATTCTGGGCTTACGACTACCAAAATTAAACTGCGTAGCCTTATAATTTTCAACCCAATCCAGAAGACAAGGAAACTCTTGGATCAAGTACAGGGAGAAATTTACCTTCGTGGAGGACATTTTGACCCATCATCCGTCATCATAATGATGATATTTTACGTCAGCAGTGTGGTTGGTTCAATTCGTCATCCCTGGAATTCGAACCCGGTTCACCTCAATGGGAGGCGAGTGCTCTACTTCCTGAACCACCATGCCTACTACATATAAAGGAAGACCACGCGAACGCTGTATAAGCAATGTTATGCACGTTTTTAATCAATAGAACATTAATGAATCCGATCACAGCTTTTTTTAATATCAGCCTCTTTATTTCAAAACTTTTATTTTGAGCTCTAATTGTAGTTCGTGGGTACAGCCAGTGGTCAATGTACTGTCTCAAGAGTAGAGTAGAAAAAAATGGAGTGAGACGTAAAGAAAAAGAAATTTTTTCCGTGAAAATGTTAGCAAAAAGGGGAGAAATGTGAAGAGTGGGAAAATCGCGTAGCTTTGAGACGTCTATTTATTTACTAAAAGAATAACTTGCAGAGAAACTCTGAGGCTTAAACAAGAGTTTTCGATGCAATTTGGTCAACCCACATTCACTAATCAACTAGAAACAGGGTTGGCTTTTCAACCATAAGAAGACCATTCCTTTTCAGCGAGCTGAAGGAAATTGCGATACAGCGGAAGAAATTGGACGAAAAGAAAGAAACTAAACCAAAACAATTGTTTAACTATGACCCATTAAATAACTATGCCCTTCGAATCCCAGCGATGGCTGCTCGATGCGAATTCCACACCTAGCTGTCACCGACCGCACTTCTGATGTAAAATATCCTCAGTGGTAGACGGATCATGGGTTAGAGTCCCTTTGGCGTCAAACTAACCGTGGGAAGCTTTCATGGTTTACCTCTCTATGTAACACAAATGCGGGTTAGTTTCATCAAAAAGTCTTACATGAAGACAAATTTCTCTCAATACTTGATCCAGGAGTTCAATTGTCTTCTGGATTGGGTTCAAAATGAGAAGGCTACGGAGTCGAGCATTAGTTATCGTAAACCCAAAATTGGGTCGGTTTCTAGACGAAGGTTATAAAATAAAATAAAATAACCCTATGCAAGTCACAATACATGGTACTAAACTTAGCGATATTGTCAATAGCTTCACAGCAACAACAGAAAATTATGAATAGAGTGTTTGAAAAATAGATTTGAAGGGGATGAGTTATTAGTGGAATTCTATATTAAAGAACTATTAGGTTTGATCATTAAAAAAAAGGGGACTGATACCAAAGGGGAATGAAAAGACCGTTGGAATCAGTATCAGGCAAATTTCTCACACTTCTTGATCCAGGAGTTCCCTTGTCTTCTGGATTAGGTTCAAAATGACAAGGCTACAGAATCGAACATAGGTAGTCGTAAACCTAAAATTGGATCTGCTGTTCAACGACGATTATAAAATAAAATAACTATGACCAAAACAACTGTTTATCAATATCTATTAAATGAATAGTTTAAATTTAAACAAATTAAATTCCAGATAGTACCAGAAAGTTAATAGTTTAGCATCTACTTTTCTTTAAAAATAAAAATAAAACTTTTATCAAATTATTTATTTTAATTTTACACACAGTTTTAAAATCTATATGTTATACTATTGTCGGGTTGAATTTGCGTAGAATATTGAATAATTATAATTGTTTTAATTTTTAAGAAATTTACAAATTATGCATTAAAGTCACAAATTTAAAAATATTGCATTAAAGGGCTAGGATTTTACTACTATTAATGAAACTAAATAACAATTGAAAGCTGTTTAAAAATTGTTTTACCATTAAGTTTTTCTTTTTTTTTTTTAAATAAAATTTTAAAAAAAATAACAGATTTTTTTTATTAAATTGGAATAAACTTATTTCTCTCTAAGGAATCCGCCTGAGAATGGCCAATGTGAGAATGGCCTGAGAATGGTATTCTCACTGAAAAAGAAACTGGCCATAAATAACAGTATTCTACTATTAATAACGGCATTTCACTGTAACAGTTCTTCAAATAAAGAACGCTCGATAATAAATCGTAAAGTGGATATACTTTGGGTCACTTTTAGAATTTTTTTTTGATACCTTAAAAATTGAATTTAGAGCTCTAAATCTTTTATGATTTTTGTCTGCATAGTTCTCTTTTGATGTGGAAAGCATAACTTTAAATAGTAAGATGAATTTAATTATTAATCGTCATTCATTATTAACCGTAATATTTTAAACAGCCAGATTTTCATATTTTTAAATTTTTTTTTTTAAATTCTTGGTTAAAAACGCTCTTGTATTTTGTTTATTTTAGGGTTCATTTGTCGCTCTCTTGTATTGCTTCCTGAATGGAGAGGTAAGATTTTTTTTCAGTTTTATCTTTTAGAGCACGGTTCCTAATTTGTTTTGCCTGCTTCGGAATCTTAAACCAATAGTGTTAACCAATAAAAACTTAATAATAAAAATACATAATAAGAGTAACGTTTTTTCATTTATTAATCTTAAATTAGGTTTTATGTCCGACTGTAAAATTCGCAGTCTTGGAGCTGTATTTACTCCTGAGACAGATATTTGTTGCAGCAGTCGGAGACAGATATTTGTTGCAGCAGTCGGAGACAGATATTCGTTGCAGCAGTCGGAGGCAGATATTTTGCCGTGCCAAAACTCAAATGAAACGCAATACTTTCGCCTAAATCGCAACTATATGGTCAAGTTCAAACTTAAGCAGAGCGTAAAATTTTGTTTTATATTTTTACAATTTTGTCGAATTAAATCTAAAACAAGACGTAAAAGTTTCTCTTAGATCATATCGTTTTAGAATATTTAAATTCAAACTTAAAACTCAAACGAGCGAAAATTAAAACTCAGTAAAATTCAAACGAGCGAAATTAAAATAAAATTAGTAAATAAAATAAAATAAATAAAAATTTTAGTTTTCTGTAAGTTACTTTTTTAAAGCAGAAATGTTTAAAGTTGTTATAAGTTAACTCCTTTTTGAAAGAAAAAAAAAATTACCCTTTGGAAAAGTGGGGTTGTTCCAGATTTTCATTTCCGTATACCTTTTGACAAGACCAACTTCACTAAAATCATGAATAAGGAGTTGTAAAAGTCTGTAAAAATTCAGGTTAACATATCATTAATAAAAAAACAGCACAACAAGGTTAAATTAAAAAAAAAACTCACCATCTTAATACATAACAAAAGTAAAAGTCAAAAAAAAATAATTCAAAAAATTATCAAACAGCAGCGCATAGCAACGCATTCAATGACGACGCATGCGCACTGTTTACTATTACTCTTGAGCACAGTTGAAGAGTGTGATGACGGTGCGCGAGCCATCAAACCCAAAACAACACCCATTTTGCCAATGGGTAATAAATAAACAAAAAAAACGTAAAATATTTTGTTTTAGATCTTTAAAATTTCGTCGAGTTAAACATTCAACAATGAATAATAATTTGTTGTAGATAAATAATTTCTATAACAAATTCTCTAATATAATTTGTAACCCTAACCGTTTATTCNAAAAACAAAAAAAAAAAAAATGTTACCATTGGAAAAATGGGGTTGTTCCAGATTTTTCATGTCCGTATACCTTTTGACAAGAATAACTTCACTATAATCATAAATACGGAGTTGTAAAAGTCTGTAAAAATTCAGGGTAATATTTCATTAATAAAAAAGCAGCACAACAAGGTCAAATTATAAAAAAAAACTCACCAACTTAATACTAACAAAATTAAAAGTAAAAAAAAAAAGAATTCTAAAAATTATCAAACAGCAGCGGTTGCCATAGCAACACATTCAATGACGACGCATGCGCACTGTTTACTATTACTCTTGAGCACAGTTGAAGAGTGTGATGACGGTGCGCGAGCCATCAAACCCAAAACAACACCCATTTTGCCAATGGGTAATAAATAAACAAAAAAAACGTAAAATATTTTGTTTTAGATCTTTAAAATTTCGTCGAGTTAAACATTCAACAATGAATAATAATTTGTTATTATTATCCTCTAATATAATTTGTAAACGTAACTGTTTATTCGCGTTTGAACTAATATTTTGTAATAGATGCTAACTTCATAGCAGTTTTTTTTTAAATTTTTACTTAAAGCTTAAAACCAGATGTAATATTTTGTTTCAGAAAAAAAGTAATTTCGTCGAGTTAAAACAAAACGTAAAACTTTGTTCCAAATCTTTATAAATTAGTAGAGTTAAAACTAAAATATTTAAAATAGCACTTGTTACAAAAGTCATCAATTACTAAATTTTATCCTAGGTCAATTTCATATCAATATATATTCTCCTAATTAAATATAACTTGAGGAGTTAAAGTGAAATGTTGATTTATCTAAGTTTATTCCTGATTAATTAAATGATTTTGATTTTTAAAAACTTTATTTGTTCAAATTTCTCATTATCGTCGTTCTAGATCATTAAAAGCAATTTTGTCCGACTAGCTTCATCGTTAATTTATAATGCGATTCTATACCTAAATTAATTATGATTTATATGCATTTTAATGATTTTACGAAATGCATTGCAGTTTTGCCATGTTAAGATACACAATTATCATTTCCCTCTTTACATATTTACCGAAATGTACGACCGCCAATTGGTTTGGTATAAATACTTGAATAATCTTTATTTTTCAACAAATTTAAATTAGTTAATAAAAGTGTGTGATTTCTTGACGGTCAAGCTTTTCCATGCGTTTTATTGTATTTAATTTCTGCCTGAATTCCTACAAATTTCTTCAATTTCAAAAGGTAAGTTGTACTTTTTGAAACACTATTATCTGAAAAAATATTATCAAAACGTCATCTACAATTTTGTACCATTTCAATTAAGTTTCATAAATTGGTGTCTTTAAAGAATTCATGAGAAGAAAAAGGAAAAATATTAACTCAACATTTTCGAATATTTACAATAAGAAATTTCCCTGATACCAAAATAAATAAAGTCATTCTTAAGAATATCTTAGTAGTCTGCACAAAGAAAAAAAAATTAAATAAAAGCCGATTCATTCACTACCTTAAAAGTTAGGCTACATTTTTGATTTTCTTTTTCTCATTATTTTTGTACTGTACTCCGAACAAAATTTTCAAGATAAAGTAATATCTGACGGCCTGTCAAAAAATGTGGAAAAAGGTAACAAGATCAAATATAACTAATCAATTTTTTTAGAAATGGATATTTTTTTTCAATAAAATTATGCGATGTGTAGTTTGGATCGGTGATTTAAGAATGTACAGTGCGCAATATAAAAAGAAGGAAAAAAAAACTTAATAATTTTTGATCTAATGATCGGATTTTTATGTACTAGATTCAATCGAATTAATTCTCGAAAAATCAAAATTTTAAAAATGCGACTTTTTATAAATTTGTCAATAATAACAGACTTCATTTTACAATTTAAAATTACAAACTTAATTTTTCAATTCAATTTTTTCTTATCTTTAAAATAGAGCAACAAGCAGCCATAAATAATTAAATAAAATAACAAATAGATAATCCCTTGTAATAAATAATTATTAAAAATAATTTATCAAATAGGATTATCTTTGAATAAAGGAATTTTATAACGTGTGCAGAAACTTTTCGATTCGCTGAAACACGGAATACGCAAAAACTGAAATCAACATTAAGGGGTCCAACATTAATTGCTCTCTTACCTAAACTATTATGACCCTATTTACCAGATTGCGGTTACTGCTCCTCTTTATATTTTGAGGAGGTCCCGCAATGGACTAATCGTTAAGACATGGTTCCCAAGAGAACACCGAAGTCAATCATGGCTGCGGTCAGTGTGCGGGTGGGTGACCACTTTGATCACCCTACATAGGGACCGAGAGTGCGCTGTATCGGTTCTCGTTAAACTGTTCTACCATAAAGTGTCTGACTTCGTGAGCAGGTCGATTTGCTACAGAAGCAGAGGAGCCATCCCCTCTCCAGAGGATCAAAATTTTACTGGCATGTTTTTGGATTATCCTCGTGAATGTTTCCCAGACCGTCGCCAATAGCCCATTGTGCGAGCCGCGATGGCTCAGGGTATAGAGCGTTCGCCTTCCAACGGCTTGCACCGACCACAGTGCAGACGTAAAATATCCTCAGAGGTAGACGGATCATGGATAAGAGTTCGCTTTCGGTCAGGCTAAACTTGGGAGGTTGTGGTTTTCCTCTCCATCTAACGCAAATGCGGGTTAATTGCATCAAAATCTCCCGATGCTTGATCCAGGAGTTCCCTTGTCTTCTGGATTGGGTTAAAAATTACAAGGCAACGGATTTGAACATTCGTAGTCGTAAACCCAAAAAATTGGGTCAATTGTTCAACGAAGGTATATATATANAATATATATATATAGTCCATTATGCAGCTCTAGTGCCACGTAAATACGTACCTCATATTTTGAGGATCAAAAATCCAATTCCGTCAAAAGAAATTGGGGCTTTAAAGAATTGTAACAATGCGCATAAACTTTTTACTTAGTTACTTAGTAGAATAAGATATTTCTGGGCAATTAAATCTTCGTAATCGAGTTCAAAAAGAAAATTTTTTTTATAAGTATTCTTATCAATTCTGATTTTGTTTTGCATGTTCTTGCAGGTGCAAAGCGAAGTCCGAAAGATGATCGAGCGTTTTCGAGAGGTAGAAGGTCAAGGACACAATCCTCAACACTCCCTCATCACTCAATCTCTGACCTACATAAGCAAAGGACGGTCCTCTGTCCAATCACTACACACTCTACCAGGTCAGCATTTTAATTACAATTTTATGAATAACACGGAACATTGAATTAGAAATTTTATGAAGGAGAAAACATTCGATTATGATTGAAGGAATGAACGGAATATTTAATTAAAATTTAATAGATTAATAAGAAATTTAATTATAATTATTTGACTCAGGTACTGGGTTAGGAAAATTAATCATAAATGCATAAATATGCATGATTTATGGGTGACTAGCACGTACATGAATGAACAAGATATTCGACTATATTTTTTTAGAAAAAGTATAATTTTTTTTCTTTATGTATATCCTCAAATATTATATCACTTCTTACATTGCCAGTATTAAATTGTACTCTTAAGATATTTGGAAACGGAGAAACAAACATAACGTTTATTTAATACAGACAACATAAAAGAGAATAAAAATATAACAAAATATATGAAAGAAAATCATTGGCACTGCGCCATCTATGGATATAACTTTAAATCATGAATTTTAGCCATTGTTTTATAGTCAGATAAGCAGTTTTTTGTTTGTTTTAATGTCCACCATAGAGAAATATGATAGGGCACGCAGTTCGTAGAATTACTACACTTTTTTTTGATGATGATATGGAATAAATTTTTGTTACGTTATTTTTTTTTTTATTGTGACAAATGTAATACTGCCTTTATGGATTTTAGGAAAACAAATATTAATAATTACTGCTGGCCAGCATAAATATTTTAGTTTTAGAATCTGCACTATGAATTTAAATTTTTTTCAGTACTTTTTTTGTATTGCATTATACTTATCTTAGTATGCTTATTTCGGGTTTAAAATTGATTTTTACACGAGGAAGAAAAAAGCAAAAAACGCCGTCAAAGTTTAGAAAATCAACACTGAGCAAGGAGTAAACCAAAACATAAAAACCTATTAGGTTGCTGTAAGAAGCAGAGAGGAGTTGAAAAGTGTTTACTATACTTTCTGTAAACAGTATAGGCGTCTCACGCGATTTCCTAACACTTCATACACCCCTCTAATACCATGGTTTCAGCAAATCTTGCCTTTATTCCATATCAGTATATTCCATCTGTTCATAGAAAATAAGGATTAATCTAAGCTATGGTAATTGAGAGGGGAGTGTCGAAAAAATTGCGTAACCTTGTGACGTGCTTTCTATTTATGAAAAGCAAAGTTATACCTCCAAGTTTTATCAGACAGCTGAATAGGTTTCCAAGTTCGTATCTCGCTTTCCTTACTAGTGATTTGGCAGATTTTGATTGCATTTTTTGTTTTTTCCTTGCTTAAATCTTAATCTTGTATTCTTAATATAATGATAATTACATTAAATTTAATTCATTAATTTTAGTTTCAGTGGGATAAAAAATAGTAATTATTAAAAAAAAAGAAACTGAAACAAAATTTTTCATTGTTGACATAAGTAGGAATTGACTTAATTTTTTTTTATATATTACTTGTTATATTTTCCTCCCAATGTATATTAAAAAAATATATTTCACTTTATTTTGCAGAAAAGAAAGAAAACTGGAAAAATGGTGACATACCTCTAGTTATACAAGGATCGCCAAATCCAGAAAAAGGAGATAAAGAGGATTGGGGTGTCGCTGTTGGCCGACAAAACCTAACGGAAAGTTTGCTGTAAAAAAAATGACAGAAAAATTAACAGCTCTACAACCTCCGACGAAATGGCGCTTAAATAAAAAAATTTAAAAAAGTACGGAAGAAATCGTACTAAGGATTTTTCTAACTGCAAATGTGTTGATTATTTATGTGTAGACGAACATATTATTGTGTGTTCGCTTCCCCCCTTTATGGTGAATTGGATGTGCTCCAAATATACTTTGATTTGGTGTAATCAAAGTAAAAATATAATTTATCATTCCGTAACAGATGTGTGTATAATACTTCTAAAAAAGCGAGATTGTTGAAACTTGTTCGAAGTTGTCGGATTTTATTTAACAGATTCTGACAAAACAAGTTTGTAAATTTCTGCATTTATTATTATTTTATTTATTTTTGATTTAACAGTAGACATTTACTTTTGTTATATTTCTTTTAATAAAATATGTAAGGAAAAAAAGCAGCCCCTCAGCTTTTGAACCATTTTTTTAACGTTTTTTTTCTTTCCTATTTCGACAGTACATCGCTCACTGTTTGGGCGATAATATCGTTTAAATTTGTTGCAACCTTAACACATGCGCTCCAGTGCGGAGTCGGTTAAATATATTTCGTTTTTATTTTATAACCGTCGTTGAACAACCGACCTAATTTGTTGGGTTTATGACTACTTATGTTCAACTCCGCAGCCGTGTCATTTTGAACCCAATCCAGAAGACAAGGGAACTCCTGAATAAAGCATCGGGAGAAATCTGCCTTTCTGGAGAACTTTTTTATGGAACTAGCCAGCATTCGCGTTACATGGAGAGGAAAACCATCAAAACCTCCCACTGTTAGCCTGACGGAAAGGGGACTCTGACCCATGGGTGGTTGGTGCAAGCCGGGTCTGGATTTCGTATGGATCAGCCATCACTGTCGTTCTAACCCAGGTTCCCCTTATTGGAAGGCAAACGCTCTATCCCCTGAGCGTTAACACTTCAAGCAGAACCACGTGATTAGTACCAATCACGTGGTTTAAATCACATGGTTGATTTGATCATGCGCTATGGGGACGTGGTGTTAATCAATTCTACGTTTTCTTGAGTTGCAAGTAATCAATTCACAATTTTTTTGCCCCTTATTAAATAAATTATTAAAAAAAATATTGTAAAAATCTATTAAAAATAAGCTTAGAGAATTTTTTTCGATTCGCTTTTGAGAAAAAAAAATCCATACATAGCAGAAGGCGTAAAAAGTTTAGCAAACTTCAAGAGACTCGATCGCTGTCTTAACTAAATTATCGGGTTTATTATTTTTCAAATGGAGGTGATTCCCCGATATTTTGATAGCAGGATTCCTAATCCGTCGAAAAAATGCATGTTTATTTAGAGAAATTACGTTTTTAAGCTTGTTTCTCTATCTTAATTAATAGTTGATCTGAATTATAAATAAGTATATTTCAGATCAACATTTGGTACAATTAGGATCGTCACTTAGTTCGTGAAAATCTAAGTCATTTAAACAAGTTATTCAGGATTTCGTGCTCTCTACATATATTTCAAAATTTTGCTCAATGCTCGTACAGAATAGTTGCAACAAATTTGAACGAGATTTTCGGATCACGGTAAAGATGTAATGATTTAATCAATATTTCTGAGAATGATACTATACCCTGTTTCAAGTTAAGAAAAAACTATTATCCTTAGGGAGAGAGTCTGTTTACATCTAAGTACACGCCAAATGGATGCCAAGCTAACAGCGCGAACGAATATTAACATCGCCAACTCTTGAAACGAAGTTGCACAGCCTGCTTTCTTTCTTATTAACAACACTAATCGATTAACAAGCAATAAGAATTAATAAAGATATCTAAAAATCGTAACAAATATAAGAAATTAAGGAAAGTCATGAGAAAATAATAAATATTGCTTCGAGTAGTAGAGCGTTTGATTTGTTTTGAGCATACTAGTTGCAAGTTAAGAGAAAACTATTATCCTTATGGAGAGAGTCTGTTTACATCTAAGTACACGCCAAATGGATGCCAAGCTAACAGCGCGAACGAATATTAACATCGCCAACTCTTGAAACGAAGTTGCACAGCCTGCTTTCTTTCTTATTAACAACACTAATCGATTAACAAGCAATAAGAATTAATAAAGATATCTAAAAATCGTAACAAATATAAGAAATTAAGGAAAGTCATGAGAAAATAATAAATATTGCTTCGAGTAGTAGAGCGTTTGATTTGTTTTGAGCATACTAGTTGCAAGTTAAGAGAAAACTATTATCCTTATGGAGAGAGTCTGTTTACATCTAAGTACACGCCAAATGGATGCCAAGCTAACAGCGCGAACGAATATTAACATCGCCAACTCTTGAAACGAAGTTGCACAGCCTGCTTTCTTTCTTATTAACAACACTAATCGATTAACAAGCAATAAGAATTAATAAAGATATCTAAAAATCGTAACAAATATAAGAAATTAAAGAAAGTCATGAGAAAATAATAAATATTGCTTCGAGTAGACGAGTAGTAGAGCGTTTGATTTGTTTTGAGCATACTAGTTGCAAGTTAAGAAAAAACTATTATCCTTATGGAGAGAGTCTGTTTACATCTAAGTACACGCCAAATGGATGCCAAGCTAACAGCGCGAACGAATATTAACATCGCCAACTCTTGAAACGAAGTTGCACAGCCTGCTTTCTTTCTTATTAACAACACTAATCGATTAACAAGCAATAAGAATTAATAAAGATATCTAAAAATCGTAACAAATATAAGAAATTAAAGAAAGTCATGAGAAAATAATAAATATTGCTTCGAGTAGACGAGTAGTAGAGCGTTTGATTTGTTTTGAGCATACTAGTTGCAAGTTAAGAAAAAACTATTATCCTTATGGAGAGAGTCTGTTTACATCTAAGTACACGCCAAATGGATGCCAAGCTAACAGCGCGAACGAATATTAACATCGCCAACTCTTGAAACGAAGTTGCACAGCCTGCTTTCTTTCTTATTAACAACACTAATCGATTAACAAGCAATAAGAATTAATAAAGATATCTAAAAATCGTAACAAATATAAGAAATTAAAGAAAGTCATGAGAAAATAATAAATATTGCTTCGAGTAGACGAGTAGTAGAGCGTTTGATTTGTTTTGAGCATACTAGTTGCAAGTTAAGAAAAAACTATTATCCTTATGGAGAGAGTCTGTTTACATCTAAGTACACGCCAAATGGATGCCAAGCTAACAGCGCGAACGAATATTAACATCGCCAACTCTTGAAACGAAGTTGCACAGCCTGCTTTCTTTCTTATTAACAACACTAATCGATTAACAAGCAATAAGAATTAATAAAGATATCTAAAAATCGTAACAAATATAAGAAATTAAAGAAAGTCATGAGAAAATAATAAATATTGCTTCGAGTAGACGAGTAGTAGAGCGTTTGATTTGTTTTGAGCATACTAGTTGCAAGTTAAGAAAAAACTATTATCCTTATGGAGAGAGTCTGTTTACATCTAAGTACACNTACGCAGGACGAAGAGTAATAAAAAATAACAAATTTTTTGCTACTACATAATATTTTTCAGCCATTTATTTGAATAACGTGCAATAAAAGGGAGGAATTTGGGAACCATTAGTCAAATTGCCTGCATAACGGATATAGTGAACTCCCGGTTATAGTGAACCAAAATTTCGGTCCCTTGAAGGTTCACTATAGCGGGGTTTGACTGTATATATATAAAACGAATTTTTCTGGGAAGTCTTGAACATGGACAGCTGCTCTTGAGCGTAGGAGAGATGTGACTATTATTTCCTATTTATATATTTTTGAAGCGAATGAAGTTTTTAATTAGGTAATATTCACTTGTTTTAGTTTAACAGCACAATAAAATACAAATTATTATCTTCTATAAGTTTTATAATAACTCGTAAACTGCAATCATCCTCAAATGAGAACAGTTCTTTTTTGATGAAATAATTAAAAACTGACAGCAAAAATTATTGTGACAAACAAACAAATTTGTTTATCTATTAATAACGTAAACCTTGTAATTTGAACCTATAATAATGGGATTGTAAATTTTCCTTTTAAATTGCAGTTGTTCGTGTTACTAATATAAATGCAACTGTTTTCATGATAGTACTTCTGATATCATTGCAATTTTTTGAGTCATGCGATAACGGCACTTTACTAGTCAAGCTATCTTACAAATTAAGAACCACTTTAATTAATTACCGAACGTTTGATAATTGTTTAGAATTAAATGTTTTAAGTTTTTCATTTTGAACATAACTTAATTGACTGAACCTATTAAGATGTTTATTAACAATGAAACCCAAGCTTATGTACTTATTTTTTTACTTATTAGAAAGGTTTTGCGTAGCGTTTGTCTTCCGTTAATCATAATATTAAAGCATAATGCAATATAAACCCCATCCCTACTCCTGTATAATATTTCTTCCCCTTAGCAACTCTACGATTGGTTGGGGAATTTTCAGGCATGCGCTATGAAGCTCAAGCTCAAATAGCGTTTACGGAACACAAAAATTCTTTATTATAATATATATATATATATATATATATATGAGCTGATCTTACAATTATATCAAAATAAAATTGCCAGAATCTATTAATACTAATCAAGTGTAAGGAAAAGGCATTTTAAAATGTAATTAAAATTTGTATTTAAATACATTTGTTTATATAAGCTTGTCATATATATGTGTGTTCTATGTATGTGTTTAATAACTTACAAAGAGCTTTTTTGCCACTTTGCATAAATAATATAACGGGGGCTTGTTGGAGATAACTAAGGACATATTTTTACCAATGGGGCGATGTTTTCACTTTTTGTAAAAAGTTACGCTCTTTTAAGACTATTTTTCAGTTTTGTTTTTAAACTTGGTAAACTAAGTTTTCTGTATCTGTTCTTGCTAAAAATCTTACTAAATGAAAAAAACACAACCACTAACATTTCAGTTAAACTTAAGAACATTGAAATCATGGAACAGTAACTAAATACTAATGGTTAAAATAAACGATAATATGTTGTTGATGAAATAGTTTAAAAAAATTCTTAGTGAAAACAAAATCCTCAACTATAGTAATATAAATGAGCGCAATATAAAAAGTGAACATTCTCAGAAATTTTTTAATAGCGTATTTAAGTTTAGTCTTTCGTGCGAAAACCTGATTATTTAATTAATTAGTGCAGATGATAATTTTAGTTTTAAAGTCAGTCACAAAAGCGTATTTGGTCTTATTTGGAATTTTAAATCTTAAAATATGGATAATAGCAGTAATTCGGAAAATATGGTCCGAATAATTTAGACAGCAGAGAGAAATTTTTTGCAAATCAAAAAAAAAAAAAAAAATATTTTCACACAATTATAAAATAAATTTTTACCCGAAGATACTCCCACGTAAAAAAAAATAATTCAATAATAGTAATAATTGTAAGATTTAAAAATTTTTACATTATTTAAAACTTTTTAATTTTTACAAAATGCAAATTTTATTTTTATTTTATATCCATCGCTGAATAGCCGACCCAATTTTTTAGGTTTACGACTACTAATGTTCAACTCCGTAGCCTTATCATTTTGAACCCAATCCAGAAGACAAGGGGACTCTTGAATCAAGTATTGAGAGAAATTTGCCTTCGTGAACTTTTTGATCGAACTAACCGCATTCGCGTTACACGAAGTGGAAAACCACCACCACCCATGGTTAGCCCGATGTAAAAGGAACTTTAAACCATAATCCGTCTACCATTGAGGATATTTCACGTCAGCACTGTGATCGATGCAAGCCGGATGCGGAATTCGTATCGACCAGCCATCGCCAGGATTTGAATCCGGTTCACCTCATTGGTAGGCGAACGCTCTATCCCCTGAGCCATCGTGGCTCAAAATACAAATTTTGAGCAAAACCCTCGAATCAAATATTTTCATATACGACTGCTTTGAGATAACAAAACATTTAAGCTGTGAAACTGACACTAATGGGACTCAAACTTACGACTGTTCTCCTGCTTGAACTATTAGGGCCTTATTTTCCATATTGCGTAAAATCCTATCATTAGATCAAAAGTTATAAAGGATGTTCACTTTTGAGCATTGTATAGAAAGCTCAGTTTCAAAAAATAAATACCTTTTAATTCAAATTACCATGCAAAATACTGATCACGCAGTAAGATACAATCATACTAATTCGTGTGGTAGAAACCTAATATGTCTACGACCTAACTCTAAGATGATAAGACGCGCAAGCTACGATATTTTAGGCACCGTTACGATCATCCTTTGTATACCATTGATTTCAGTAATAAGTAGATAGTCCTGATCGTTCCGTCAAGGAATTTTGATGGTTTCTGTTGTTTTATGTGGATTTCAGTGCGATTCATGATGGTCAAACATCATTTGACGCTCACCATCATCCAATATTTTTCATGACGTGTTCTTGGTTTTCGATATGCCAACAAACTTCCATCATTCCTTGATGGAAAATGCTACTTTAATACTTTTATGATTAACAATCGAGAGAAGTTTGACTCTCATGGACCAACAATCCATGATGATCCGTTATGGTTCCAACTATACATTTCCATGATGGTTTAATAGGGATTCTTGTTGGTTCTCAGGAATACACCATCAGAACAATTTAGTTTTTTTTTTATGTTGGGCCATCATAAATCAGTCCAAATTCCTACATTGGGATGGTGGTTGTTCATGATCGTTCCAACATTGAATTTCTAAGACACTATGATGGAAATTCCTGATGGTTCATCATGAAAAAACCATCAAAGCAAGTTGCTATTCTTATGTTGGACCCATCATAAATCAGTCCGAATTCCTACATTGAAGTGGCGGTTACTTATGTTGGTTACTATCAAAAAATATAATGGTTCATGATCTAATTACTGATGGTTACCATCAAGATTATGTTGGTCCATCAATGGAAAACCATAAAAAATTTTAACTTGCGTAGTAATAAGTTAAAATATGTTAAAAAGGGGATAAATATTTTTCGAAATGTTGGTCTTAATTTATAAGTCACGGATTTATAACCAACATCCGACTAAAGGGAAAAAAAAAGGTTGTGAATAAATATTTCGTCTGGTTCATCTTGTAATTTAAAATATCGTTTGCGCCTGTTAATAAACTCATTTTGGTGTATCTCTTGAATCATATTTGGTTGATTCATAACACGTGAAAATCAGTTTACAAAGTTAAAAGTTATTCGGAATATTTTTTTTCCTGTACAGTACATGTTCTTGATTAAACCATGCAGTTTTTCTTTTCAATTTGAAATGAATATAATTGAAGCTTATAAATCTTATGGTATTTCTTGTAGAATATGTTACAAAGTTGAACTTCTCTATTAGTGAGGTTAGCGGCAAATTTAAACAATGGTGTGATTGTCACAGAATCTCGTTTGAGCAACAATGTTCTTATGTCACTAAGTATTATTCAAATGTTATGATTACATACATGTGCATCTTATAAAATGTATATATTTGAGAGTATTATGTACAAATATGTAAAGTCTAAAATAATGTGTTCATTGTGCTACTTATTTTAATTTGTGAAAGAAAACAACAACTTGTTATTTGCTCTTTATGTAAATATCGATTATCTGTATTTTTTTTTAATTAATTATATAGTAATATCGTATCGTATGTGGTGATCAAATGCTTCAAAACGCCCCCAAAAAGAAAACTGAAAATATTTTAAGTAATTTCACAGTTTTAATGTAACCTTATTAAGAACTGCACTGCTAACAGTAGTGCGAACATTGTATAAATGTTGCAGTGAATGACTGGAATCAAGAGAATGTCGACATTCATCGGTGAATGTCAACAATCACATACTTAGCCAAATCATAAGACGCCTATAAGATTCTAAGTAAAATCTTATCTATCCGGTGATACTACATGCATCTTTATTGTTTTTACGCTATTGAAACCGGTTTGCATTTGTTTATGCTCCTGTATCAATGGGTTAACATTGTAATGCAATACGTTGAAAATAAATACAAATGGGAAGTATATAAAAAATCTCCTGATTAAAACCCCATTACATGTATGTTTAAGTATAAAAGTATTGCCTATAAACTCCTGCAAAACATGCAATTATTAAAAAAAAACTACATTGCGTTTAATAATTTCGACTAATTATTGTAATACAATACCTGATAAAACAAATATTCTATATTTATATTCTATATCGTCTAATTTAACCCATTGATACACGTAACGTAAACAAGTGCAAACAGTCAGATAAAAACAATAAAGCTGTATAGAATATCACCTGATAATTAAGATTTTACATAGAATCTTACAGTGTGTCTAATAATTTGGCCTGAGACTGTAATTGCTTAGGTGAATGTCCGAAATATTTGTTATAACCGATTTCATATTAATTTATTCATTGATATTATTATATTTTTCCGATATTTCAATATCTGCTGA